AAAGCAGGGGATGCTTTAGGGCGGGGCTACACAGTGATTGACAGATCGCTGCCGCTACCAGATACCTATACATATATATTCATGTTTACTCATCTTGGTTTGTTGTGTAAAAAGTCTGAACAGGAACTAAAATGACACACGTATCATTTTCCCCCCTTTTGTTTCGGACCAGATTTGCACATAACCTCTGCATTATTTACAGACTATCAGAGGATCAGGTTCATGTCGACTATGTTCAAGTCTGCACGTGATGTGGACTACGTGTGCTTCATGGATCCGCCCTCCATCCTCACCCTCTTGCTGTCCGGCACCAGGTCGTCCTTGATGCGGCGCTTGGTGCCCCAGTCTTTGGCCAGCTCGTCCTCGGCGATCTCCTGCAGGTGGAACACCGCCACCTGAGCCGACCGGCGCCTCACTCTGCCGCTCGGCGTCCGTTCAAAGTCGTCCCCCTGGCTGGCGGTCTGCGGCGCTCTGTCTCTGACTCGCTCCCTCTCCTTGTCCTTGTCCGCCCCGGCTTCTCTTTCCTTGTCCCTCGGCTGGCCGGGCGGGGCACTCTCCTGCCAGTCCTTCTTCTCCGGCTGGCTCGGCTCCTTCTTCCCCAATGATGGAGACTCCACAGACACCACCTGGGGGAGCAGTAGCACACTTCTTTGAGTGGGAAGTGTTTGTAAACTAGTTATTACAAGAGATGCACCGATACCAATGCTGATATCGGTCCGATACCGAAGAAGACAATTTAATTGTTACTAAAATGTCTTTTAAAAGCTTAATAATGTCCATAAAAAACATTTATTCACAAATATGAATAGTGAGTACGAGAGACGATTTTCAACCATAAACCACAGCCAGCCAGAGCCTCAACAGGTCGCACGAAGCGAGCCAGTCTTCAGCTCTGTTTGTGGACCTAAGCGGGCCCCCTTTGGACAAAGTTGATCCAGTGCCTGTTCTTAAGAACCTGGATTAAAGCAGGACATCGTCTCTCCTCTTCTAGGAAGAAGCCGAGCCGAGGTCCGTGTGTGTCGGTTAAAGAGAGAGGCGAGTGTGTGTACGTGTGAGTGGCCTTATGGCGTGTTAACGTGTGTACAGCCTAGTTGTCTTGGCTTGCATCCATAAAATCTTGCATATTGCGTATCGAGTCTGTGTAGGACTTCAGCCCATCGGGCTTCGTTTTCAGTTTCAGTCCCGAACAGAAAGAGTCTGCTCAGGCCATCCCTATTTATTACAGTAAAATCAAGTTTAAAAAATGCTTCATCAGTGGGGAACTGAAAAAAGGCCTGTCTCCTACAACAAAGACCGTCTCCCAGGATGATCTTACCCTCTCTTTGCCAGTGTTGTTGTTGGTGTCGGTGGTAATGTCCCTGTTGTTGGCGGCCGTCACGGCGGCGGCGGCGTTGACGATGGCCGGAGAGTGTTCGGTACGCACGTGGTAATCCCTGCCAGCCTTGGAGTGGTAGGTTTTCCCACAGTGCTGGCACAGAAACACAGGCTTCTCAACGTCAGAGACCTCTCTCCCACAACGTTTCTGGTGGTACTGGTAGCCCATCAGGCTGGAAAAGTGGGCCGAACAGCCCTGCATGTGTGTGTGTGTGTGCACACATAATATTTGTGTGATCGAGTGAGGCCAGTGACAGAAATGAGACAGAATGAAAAACACACATTAAGCAGGAAACTGGGTTAGTGTGACGGCATGTAGGTGTAATGGAACAATATTACAGGAAACTGCTCATTCATCAGCGTGAGGACATGTCACAGGAGAGGAGAGAGTCTATTTATTTCTTCCTCTCTGTCTTTTTGCACTCTAGTGTGAGTAAAGTGTTGATGTGGTTTTGGGCAACAAGTCAAGAACGAGGATTGAAGGAAAAAAGGAGAGAGAGAGAGAGAGAGAGAGAGAGAGAGAGAGAGAGAGAGAGAAATAAAATCCAAACAGACAGATGAGGAGAGTAAGAGTGCCCCCCCCCTTCCTGAAACTCGGTTCTAAACAGGAACTGGTTCTCAATTAGTAAAAACACGGAGTATCGTTGCAGTCCGGAGTTATCGGTTCTGCTATCGGTACTTTTTTAGTTCCTGAGTGAGACGTCTCGTCCCAAACGTCCTCTCTCTGTCTCTCTGTCTCTCTGTCTCCTCTCAGTACAGCGTGAGACTCACATCATGATCAGAGAGAAGGAAACATTGTAGAACTCTGGTCGTCTCAAACACAATAAAACCCTCATAAGTAAGTTCATCACAACATGTGACCAACAAGCAGAACATCAGTCTGTCTGTGGAGCAGCCGTCAGGTAACGGTAGTGATGTCATACGTTAGTGATGTCATACGGAGTTTGATCAGAAGAACAGGATCATCAATGAAAGATAATCACTGAGCTCATTGTTTAGCTGAGATTGTAGTTTAAAGATTTTGGGACATATTTTCTTAATTAATTGTCTTTTTTTCTCACAAAATCACCATAAAGAACCGATAAAAGTATCGATAATAGTACTAGTATCAATAAAATCCTAACGATACCCGAGAGGAGATAGTGACATGTGACATGAAAGACAGAAAAGTTGGACGAAGGAAGCAAAGAATGGGAGAAAGAGAAAAGGACACGAGGAGACAAACAGAGTGTGTACCTCGCTAGGACACTTGATTCGTCCCATCTGTTTGAGAACTCGCCGCAGATGTTCTCTCTCCTCGTGCTTGTCGCCCGTCTGGCCTTCGCTTCCAGAGGGCTGAGGAGACAAACACAACATCGCATTAGAGCATCCCATCACAACAACACCCCCCCCCCCTCTGCCTCTCTACCCCTTGTTTTAAAAAGAAACAGCAAAAATGGTGACGAAAATGTGTTTTCCATCTCGGCAAATGCACAGCACCAGGATCGTTGAACGTTTTCATGGCGAGGCCGTTACTGAAGGCATATTTCTAACAACTGTCAAACTCGTGTTTTCACTCGAGTGCTGGCTGGTAATGACAGAACGCCGCAGCCAAGACCAGAACAACAGATGGCGGCGCTGCCAGGAGAGAGTCTCACCGAGGAGTCCCAGAGGAGCAAAACCTTGCGTGTGTTTCCTCTCGTGTTAACGCTCGGAGAAACAATTGAGATGACTTGAGAACACGAGCGTAGCTCTCCGGGAAGGTGAGAAGGAGATGAGATATGCCGCCAAACGTGCTTCGCTTAAAATCACGCTCAGCCACTGATTTACACCGGCGGGAGCAGAGAGCACGACACTGCATCGGCATGTATTCTTAATGCCGCCATCAGAGACAGAGAGCAACAAAAAAGAGAAAACACGAGAGAAAGAGGAGTGAGAGGAAGAGGAGGCGATGTTGCTGCAGCGATGCCAACAACAAGGTCAAACCCGGTGGGTGACCCCCGTCCCTCTGTTAGCCCAGGGCACCCGGTAGGGGGGGGGGGGGGTATATAAGATAAACAACAATAAATAACATGATTTATTGTATATCTGTTAACTAGATATACAGGCATCAGAGGTACGGGTGTGTCTTAATATTCTGTAACTCTGATTCCTTCTCATTCTTTGATTTTTGAATTTACTCCCGTTGAAAGTTTTCTTTTAGATAGAAAAATGAAGAAAGAAAAAGAAGCAGTGTGACACGAGTCAAACTTGCACATGATGAAAGACTTCTTTAATCAGCAGCTACTCGAGTCTGGAGCACAATCACAGCTCAGCACAGCTTGTCACAAAAGTTTTAATTATCTAATCTGAAGAAAATGTTGCAGGAAAGTTTGCAGACGAAGAGAAACCTCTGAGCATCACACACACACACATCGTGCTGCATGCTGTTTCCACATAAACATGCATGTTAATATACTGTATGTATATCATATACTATGTGCTCACACAAGAACACAAACATGCTACAAGGTTTGCCGCATGCGCATCCATTCATCAATCTTTCACGATACTTTTTTTTGAACCGGGCATCGCTGAATTATTTAGCACACTTTCATAGCCGTGCCGTCGCTCTAATGCAGGAGTGTCACGATACTTTCCTAATGAAGCTCTCTGCTGTCACGAGTGAAGACAGCTGCAGAGAAGAAATGCGAGCGCTTCAAGGACGAGAACACCATCGGCAGTTCAAACGCATGATCGTCTACAGACATTCAATTTATTTTCGAGACGGGCGCGTCGGCCGACATTGAATATGCAACACATAGGATGTGATGTAGCTCACGAGGGAAGACGCGGGTTTTTTCGCCTGTGGATGCATACCTATCAGGGGACATGTGTACATGCAGGACACCGCTCACCAAACACAGGGAAAGCTGACACTAGCAAAGTGTAAGTCTGACCGCCTCCTGAATGGGTGTTGTGCTTTGGTGTCTATTAATAACTAACTACCCTGTTCAGTGGGTCAGTGTGACAGCGGTGAAACATTAGATCCCCAAACGCATCCTCATCCGGACTACCAAGTGATGGTTTAAGGGGCAAAGACCAGTTTTAATCAAAGTCAGACAGCAGAGTTGGGTCGGCTGGTTCCGGTTTTGCCTGTTGGTCCTGGCGTACAAGCTTAAAACCGGTTTGATTTTGTGCAAACTGGCTGAATGTCCCTCATGACACGTAATTTAAAATGTAGCCCACATCAGCAACTGTGTTCCAACGGCGTTAACTTTTACTGCATTAGTAATTTATTGGCAACCGAGATGAGAGATCAAGTTTCAGTAGAGTGAGGAGAGGGAAGATGTGCACGCTGCACCGACTGTGTTTGTTTACTAGGAAGTTCACGAGTTCTTTTGGGGTGACGCAACTCCTCTGGTTGTATAGAAGTCTATGAGAAAATGACTCTACTTCTCTCTTGATTTATTACCTCAGTAAACATTGTAAACATGAGTTTATGGTCTCAATCTCTAGTTTCAAGTCTTCTTCAATACAGCATGATGTTCATTTAGTACATTATGGTCCATTTAGAGTCACACAGACCATAAAGCAGGGGATGCTTTAGGGCGGGGCTACACGGTGATTGACAGGTCGCTACCAGAGACGTCACGATGACTAGGTCAACTTCTCACATACAGTCTACGCTACAGAGCCTCCGTGTTGTTGTACGTACTGAATATGACATCGCTCTTTCGCCTCGTAATATTCGCGTTCTGAGTCAACATACACATGAAAAAACCCAAAATAAATCGGACAAATTGTTACGTGGTGGCGCTGCAGTAGTGGCATTACCGTGGACTGACTTAATGGACTGGAGTCGCCATACTGTTGTTCATGGTCTCGCACGTGAGCGCTCCTCTGAGGATGTACCTTGGTGCTGTGCTCAGCCATGGTGTGGTAGTTGAGGCCGGCCTTGGACCTGAACTGTTTGTGGCACTGCTGGCACTTCAGGGCATCCTGGAGCTGCAAGGGGTTAAAGGCCAAAGAGAAGATCAAATAACATTTCTATTAACAAGTAACCCAACTATCGCTGGCTGTGCTCTTTATTGGCTCCATCAATAAAGCACTCTACTGCTGTAACCCAATAGAGTTTGTTATTAGTGCGCAATTCTGGTGGAAACAAAAAGGACAAAGGCCACGTCGAGCAACTTTTGGGAAGCAGAAAAGCCAATTCAACACCAATTTAACACTTTTTTGTAGATGACCCTCCTCGCCTCAGTATTGATTTGGAGACAGAGGTGTTTCGACGGTGACTGACCCGGTGGTAATGCGGTGATTCTGCCATTGCTTTGCGGCAGACTGTCACTTTAATAGAGTCACACGGGTCTCTGGGCCAAGCAGCTATTAACACAGCTGTAGGAACACGTCTGCTACTGCACCGCTCCGGCTGGATTGTCCTCGAGAACGCTAAATATAACGGTCACCACGACCTCGTTTATTGCTGCTATTCACCACAATCGAGTCCAATGGAAACAAAACCGCAGGAGTGCACAGTGTCCTTTCCCTTGATCCATTTCCACTAATATTAGCTTTCAAAGCGGCGCAGATGAGTGAATGATATTACACGAGAACGCTGCACCGCCTGATGTTATTTCTACAGCCGTCTAATCGACATCATTACTGTAAAGGCTCCCTGGACTCTGCACAGTGGAGTCCTCAGGGAGAGGTGTCCAATAACGTTGCAGTGAAAGTTACAATCCAATGTGGAAATTACAGCTCTGGGTCCAGAGAGCTTTATTTCATAGAAAGAAAAGCATTGTGGTTCACAAAAACCACGGTTGACAATATGTGAACTGTATTTTGAAATAAAGTTTTACTGACGATCGTTCTCCTCCAATATTCAGTAGAACATGCGTTTCTAGTCTCTGATCTCTGATCATGTTTCATTGTAAACAACCAATCAGTGTTTAAACCAACAGGAGGAGAGCTAGTAACGTTAGCAGCACCGCTAACGGCTAACCAACAGGAGGAGAGCTAGTAACGTTAGCACCACCGCTAACGGCTAACCAACGGAGGTTCACTAGGTACATTATGATGCCTTCAGGCTCTGCTCAGTGAAAATGAGTACTAGATGAATGAATTATGAATTATGAGCTGTTTACAAAACCTCTAATAACACATCATTAAAACTACTAACGTTAATGACAAGATTTGTTTTAATTGCCTTTGCCCAATGCCCATTTTTAGTGTTTGGAGCTTGAACTGAATGGAACCTCCGTACATTAGCTGTTAGCTTCTTTATTAGCAGTACTGTGCTGTGATTAATCTGAACAGTATTCATGGTAATGAATTACAATATAAAGTGCCTAAGTGTCTGATTAGGTCAGTTTTTTCCAAATGTTGCTATGCTGTTAGCTCATTTAGCTAAGCGAAACTGCTAAAAGCTAACTTTAACTAGCTCATCTCGTTTTTTACAATGTAACATTATCAGGGATCCACAAGTACAAAGAATCAACTAGTCTGATAGGAAAACCGTCAGACAAGCTCTATCAGAAGTTCCAGTCTGATGGACATCTGCGTCGCCCACTGACCTTCTGGCAAATCTCCATGTGTTTCTTGAGGCCGTGGATTGTTTTCCTGGTGACGATGGAGCAGGTGGGACACACCACCTCACCTCGCTCGTGGATCGCTCGCTGCCATTGGGTGTCGGCCCCTTAGAAAACATGTGGAAACAAGTGTTACTCCGTAAGATGGCCCTCTGAGGGGTATAACATTTCCATTTGTGTACTTAGTGTTCATGTTTACCTCACAGGTTCATTCAATCCTTGTGTTCACAAGTGATAATGTGTTGGGATGTAAAATAATCCCTGCTAGGATGAAGCCTAAAAAGAGGTTCTTGATAGTCTGGAACAGGCTTATTTGTGTATATAGTGGCCATTTACTTATCAAACATATTTATAATTTCACAAAATAATGTCTTCTTATTATTTTTGGGGTCATAAATTGCTATCTCTGTTTTGCACAAGGTGTCAGCATTTTAACCAGGACATCCAGCAGGGATCACATGTCATCTTGAATTACACTAAACATCACTTTGGTTCATCAAACCGCGATACTGTTAGTTGCAGACCAAACTTTTTCCATAGCACCAAGTATTAAAACAGTCAGCTGCGGAAAGTTGGGGCTTGTTAAGTTATTCTTAGACAAATATCATAATAACAACAACAACGGTAACAATTAGTCGATTAATCCATTAGCTGATAAGCAGAAAATAGATTTTAAACAATTTTGATGGTAAAATGTACAATATAAGTGTTTTAAATTGGTAAATATTCATTGGTCTCATTTATCAAATGTGAGGTTTTGTTGCTGTTTCATTAAATAATAATACATTTTAATTAATTCAATTTGGACTTTTTGTTAGACAAAACAAGAACAATAATCACATTGGGCTCTTAGAAATTATGGGACATTTTTTACTATTTTCTGAAATCTGTTATACTAAATGATTGATTGACAAAATAAAAGAAACATTGTTAAATAATGAAAATAATTACGGTTTAGTCCTATCTCACTATTTTGTTTATCATACATCCTATTTAGGCATAAGAAAAGGAAGGCAACATGACATCATCCATGAGTGATGGATTTGAGTTAAAAACTGGGTTTTGTAGAGAAATGACAAGATATTTGTACTGGTATCACTGGTAACAATACCAAGATCTAAAACTCTGCATTTATATTTGTGAATTGATTTATTTAAAAGATCTAGGTGTTCACCAGAGCTGGTTGCAGCTGGTTCTTTCTTGGAGGACTGACTTGAAGTCGGTCTTCTCTGGGGCTCCTCACTGAACCCACTCCCTTCTGACCTCTTCACACGACCCGCCTTCAGCTTCTCCTCCACCTTAGTCATACCTGCAACACACACACACACACACACACGGGCGTGGAAGTAATTAATACTTCCATTGAACGTATTTAAGGTAAAGTGAGCGATACAAGCAGAGAGGGACAGATGGAGGACAGGGCTGAACAAGAGAAAGTTGATACTGGATATGAAAAAAGAGGTAGTAACTGAGAAGAGGAAGTTGTTTTGAGTTATGGTGAATCAGTGACAGATGCACTGAGAGAGAAGAGAGTCCTGCAATCTGTGGTTGGATTGTTTGATACGTGGTGATAAGTAGTTTACAGCACCGCTATATGAGTCATGAGACATTTTCAGCATATGAATGAGACAGAAAGAGAAAGAGAGATGCTGGGAAAGCTGTGTGTACGTGATGTCTGCTCGGTGCGTTCAAAGACCAGCACCATTGATCGGCAGCAGTGGGGAATCACTCGTAATCACTCACAGAGCCCATTACACGATGTTCTTCAGTTCTTCTGAACGCCTCAAAGCTCTCCATATGTAGGTATGAAGGGCTCATTCTAAGCTAAGCAAAACAAAACAACTCGGACACCGATGGACACGTGGCTATGAATGGACTCGATTAGAGTCTCCAACATCGGCCAAGCGTGTTGGAGATGGAGAGAAAACATTGCTAATAGTTTAGCTTAGCCTTCCGCTAACCGGGAGATGAAGAGATGGCCTGCTGTTGGGCTTATTTTTGGTAACCAGTGTAGCATGAAAACATGGCAGAATTACCAAGCAAACTAGAGGACAGGTTAATGTTTCTCAAGTAACACTAGAGAGTCAGTGACTGTACATATTGAGAGAAACTTGTATTTTAAAAAACAAGCATACAAAACTTGCTAGCCAGCGTTAAATAATGTGTTCGGAGAATTATTCCACCTCCACCAACGCTCTGCTCACAAAAATACGTCATCATGTTCACCTCCAGAAAAGGAGTCTATACTATATTCCATTTCTGCCAATAGATCCCCCTAAATCCTACACACCGGCCATTTAATATCACACCCACAGGAGATTACTTGATTACATCATTTGCCATCATTTACCTTTCAATCCAAATGTTCCGGATATGGAAGGCTGCTCTCCGGTGAACTTCTTCGGTGTTTTCTGCTTCCGTCCTGGCTCAAGAGACGGAACGGAACGGTCAAACACACACAGGCGTATAACGAGAACACGTGGTCCATCACGAAAAAGATATGTTGTAATCTTACTGTGCCTCATTCGCTCCGGGTCTTCGTCGGGGAAAGAAGTGGGGATGCTGTCCCCTTCGCTGTCGCTGCCCTCCCCATCGGACGACCCGCTGTGGGACTGCTGGGACTGCTGGGACTGAGGCTGGACCGGCTGGGACTGGTGAATCTGCTGCGAAGTCTGGCTGTGGCTGTGCAGTTTCCTCTCACTCTTCTGGTGGGCCAGCTCTCCGTTGTGGGAGGGCGTGGACACCTCGTGGGTCTTTTTCACTTTGAAGAACACGGGAGAGGGGGGACTGTTCTCCATGGGCCTGAAAGATTTTGGGCGGTCAGCATTACGACGTCACTATAGCAGCAATTATGTGGGTGGGAATTTGAGCTCTAAATCCCATGTCACCTTTTCTTGGTGTTGGACTTGACGGGGGCCTTTTGAAGCTTAGGCTGCTCGTCCTTGGGCTCCACGCCGGCCCTGTCCGGGTGGTTCCACAGCTTGTGCTTCTGCAGGCGCACCTTGGTGGCAAACACTGCCTCACAGTAGGGACAGCCATGACTCAGCTTCTCGGCTACGGTGGCCTGATAAGACACGAGGAGAGGGGATTTAAAGTGAGCTCACTCCCTTACGCAACATAAAACCACAGTGGGAAGCTGGAAGGATCCTGAAACAGCCATGTATGGGCAATGACTACGTTTACCTGCACACTCATATTCCACGATTATTCCGAATACGACAACATTCTGAATTTGATGAGGCTCGTGTTAACATCATATTCCAAATGGAGCATTTTCTGGCTAAGACATGTGAGGTATGCCGATATTATTCAGGTTTTAGGAGCATTTTTTGGACATGTATACAGCTCATTCAGAATATGCAAAATGGCACAAGCGGCTCCTGTCGTTCCACTTTTCGATATTTTGACGTGATCGAGCAACATGTTAGGACATCGGCCCATCAGACACATCCGAGAATGGAGCCGTTTTACGTTAATCTGAATATGCACGGCTGCGTGTAAACGGGATTATTAGTGGAATATTACTTTTCATTAGCCTTGTAAACCAAAAAAAGCTAAATATTTGGTGCATGTAAACGTAGTCAATGACCTCTAAATATTTAAGGTGTGCGTATTTTGAATTATCTGGAAGTTTTAAACCCTGATTTAAACTAACCTTATGGGTAATTTGATCTTTTTTACTGTGATCAAGACTACTCTGAAGCACAAGGTGGAAACAGCCGCATAACAGGAAAGAACAGAGGTTAGTGACTCACCCCCTGGCAGCGTTGATAGTGGTACTTGACGCCATAGATGCTGGGAAACTCTAACCAGCAGCCCGAACACGGACACTTAACCCTGGAGCGGCGCTTAAACTCTTCCTTCCATTGTACTATCATATGGGCCTGCTCAAGGGGTGAGGAGGAGAGAGTTCAATGCATGCACGGATTATCGCTAGAACTGTACTGTATATGTCGTGCATATTCATGGGGAGCTGCCTACTCTGCAGAAAATAAATAAATAAATGAAGCCCACTTCAAAACACCCACTCAGTTCAAAGAGAGATACTCACAGGGATGCTTCTCAGTTCCTGCACTTCTGCTTTAGGGCGACCTTTCCTCTTCCCCTCTGCTGGCTCATCACACACCGGACCTGGTATAATAAGAGAGGGAGAGAGAGAGAAACATTTCTCAGTTAGTACCGCAATGGCTTCATATTCATGGCAGATAAATATGAATTCATTCTAACTTTGTATACAACTTTCTAGATATGTTTCTTGACATTTTCGGGAGCGACACAAATCAGAATCAGCTTTATTGGCCCTGTATGCGTACGCATACATGGAATGTGACATACACAGAATATACAAAATAAACAAAAAAGATAAAAACAAAAACAACAAAGTAGAAGCAAATACCCAAACTTCAGTAAAATACATTTTCTTCAAAACCCCTGAATCCATATTCAAGCTAAATACGGACATGAACACGTACGATGAAAACAGACGTATATGGCTGTGGTGATGGGTTTGAATATTGAGAAGATGTCAGGTGTGATTGTGGCATAAACAGAGGAAGATAAAGTAGAGAGGGCAGTGTGGGTGAAGGCCTTCTGTTGAGCCAAATGGATCCGCTATAAATCGCTAGCGGCCTGTGTGAACCTCTGACACAGCACTCAGCAGACCCACTGCCTCAGCTCTCTCTCTCTCTCTCTCTCTCTCCCTCCCTCTTTCCTCACCTCATGTCTCTTTATCTTGCCTTTTCCCTCCAAACACCCTTCCCGATCTTTCTCCATGCGAACTTCTCAGGCCATGCTCATTACTCTCTTCTCTGCTACAATTAGACCTCTGCACTACTATCCGCCCTGCGCTCTATTTCCTCTGTACAGCGCTGCTTGAGAGAGAGAGAGAGAGAGAGAGAGAGAGAGAGAGAGAGAGAGAGAGGGAGGGAAAGATGGAGGGAGCTGAGGACAAGTGTATGCATGTGGAGGAAGAGGAGGGAGGGGCGGAGAGAGGATGCTGAGGGAGAGAGGAGAGAATTGCAGAGGCAGAGGACTTCGTCATCTGACCAAGCAGAATTGTGAATGACGGTGCTGCAGGTCGGAGCTGAGGCTGTTCTCTCTGCTCCTTTGTATCTTTGGATGTATCTTTACATCCTCGACTCCCCGGCATTGATCCGGCAAGACTGGATAGCGGCAGCAGAGATGTGGCAGGCAGGAGACGGAGGCGCCGCTTCAGTCATATCAGATGTAGAAAATGTCAAAGGGAAACTCCTTGAAGTAGACGTGACAGTCGTTTGCTGTGAAGTGCGGCAGTGGATTACTGTGTTTCAATATCCATACTACCATACTATGGCAGGAAACGATTTAGTATGTCTCAATACATAGTGTGTCACATGCAGTATGCCAAAAATACCAGGATGCTCTGCTGCATCTGGTTGTATTTTGCAGTAGGCAAGCCAGCATGCTTTTCTGGCTAAACTGACCCACAATCCTTTGCATAACAGATATATGAGCAAGAGAGTCAAAGCTCAAGTTGCAATGTTATGATCAGGCTGCACACTCCGGTTCTGAAAAGTGAAGCCAAAGCTTCACGTCTTAAACCTGCATTCTCTCTAGTGTCCATCAGGGGGCGACTCCTCTGGCCATAAACTCATGTTTACAATGTTTACTGAGGTAATAAATCAAGAGAGAAGTAGAGTCATTTTCTCATAGACTTCTATACAACCAGAGGAGTCGCCCCCTGATGGACACTAGAGAGAATGCAGCTTTAAGACACTTCCGCATTAGCTTCACTTTTCAGAACTTGCCGCCTGGTCCCAGTTGAATGCATTACTGCATGCATCAGTGCGTACTTTGTAAAGGCAGCTGCAGTATGCACTAAAAGTGAAAAAGAAAAAGTATGTGCTTTTGGAACGCAGCTCGTGTCTGCCGACTGCTCTCTCCTCATTGACAAGCAGCGACAGGATGCACACAAGCTTGCTGCTGGTGGCGGATCAGAGCACTCAGTATAATCCTTGTAGGGATTTTTTTCATCAAATAAATGAACTGACTTCCTGCCATCGTCGCTCAAAAAAAGGATGGCCTTCAACCCCAAAAACCCATCTCTCTCTGTCAGTGACATTAATGTGTATAAAAATGCAATCCAGGCCTAACCTGCCGTGACCTCCTCGTGTCGTTCTCCTCTGTTTTTTATTACACAGCATCAACTTTCCCCTTCTCCTCTCATTTGTCTTCTTTTTGTTACTCACTGGAGACACAAACACACGACCGACGGGATTACACGTAATCTTTTACTTCAGCGTCACCATAATAAGGTAGAAGGGAGAATAAGGCCGGGCTGAAGAAGACTCAATGAGAAGTAGTAGCACAGTATTGCTGGACTGTGTTTCGGGGAACAGCTCAAGACAAAAACACACACCGAAACACACAAACAAGTACACAAAACCCTTACCAGTTTGTGTGATAATGTGTGTGCATAGATATGAGTGTATTAATATTCTCCAGGCGGCAGAGCATTTCTCTATTAGCTGTCTGGGTAGCAGCTGGGGAGGTGATGCAGTCGGCGGTGCAGCTCTTGTGCTGAGGAGGAAATTGAGCATGCATTCTAATTCCTGTCTGAGAAAATAAAGGTCTCGCAAAAGAAAAAGGCGTAATTAATGAATTCTGCTCTTGGGAAAGATATGTTCTTGTTGCTATGGGAATAAGACCCACTTGTCTTAGTTACCATTATCAGAGGCTTCAAGCAGGCGGGACTATTAGTCCGGCACACACACGTACACACACACACACACACACACACACGTACACACAAGAGCTAAGGAAGCACAGGTGCACATTTAACTGTAAAAAAAATGAAATATATAACAGCAGAGTTGTCTTTCCTGGGGTGAAGTATGCAAACGCAATTTAATGTGTTCAGTATCTTTTACTTTGCTCTGATTGCTTGAGTATAGGGAAGCTCACAGGAGGCAACCTGCAGGTCTGAAATGTGTAGTGCCGTAAAGCTGCATTCTCTCTAATGTCCATCAGGGGGCGACTCCTCTGGTTACAAAACAAACGTGTTATTGTATAGAGGTCTATGAGAAAGTTACCCTACTTTTCACTTTGTTATATAGAGAGCTGCTGTGATGATGCATTTTTGACAAAAATCCAATGAGATTTTTCTGTTGGATTTTGGATTCTTGCAGAAAATATTCTATGTGGCAAACACAAGTTTATGATACTTACAAGTTTTGTTCAGCAAAATAATCTTCACAAATGGACAACACTTGTATTACTTTTGAAGCATAAATGCTTAAATAGGCAGAAGTAAAAAGCCAACGTTAGGTTATAAAGGAACCACGGTTGCATGAACACGAGTATAAACACAACGAGGCTGTGAAGGCGGACTAGTCGGCGTGATGACGTTTTGTCGTTTCATTTTGACACTTTCGTTCGCAACCGACTATTATGAGACACGTTAAAGCTTCAAAACTCACCAGAGGGGTGTTTACAAAATGAAGTGCAAAAATGCTGAGTCATTTATCGCTTTTTTCGGACTCATTCCTGCAGCACTCTAATGGTCATCAGGAGGAGACTCATCTGGTTGTATAGAAGTCTATGAGAAAATGAGTTGTACATTGCTCCAACCTCTCGTGTCACTTCTGGTTGCAAATAAAACAACAAGATGGCAACAACCAAAATGCCAAACTTCCACTCCTTATATACAGTCCATGGTGGCGAAAATTCTGGCGCCCAGCAATCGCAACCATTGTCTTGGTATGAAACAAAGCCGGCCCATTGTGTCAGATCTAAACCTCGGTTACTCAGCCACAGAGGCCACGGGGATAAAACAGCTGTTCAATAATGTCAAACTATGACTCGCTCCCAGCTGTCTGCAACTGTTGCTCCACACAGAAGAGAAGACGAAGAGAAGAAGAAGAAGAAGAAGAAGAAGAAGAAGAAGAAGAAGAGTCGGGACCCAGGAGTGCTGGCAGCTGCTGAGTGATCTCAAATAACCTCCAACTTCTCCTAGCTACGCCTGCAACCGCTCCCCCTGAGTGCAAGGGTGCACACACACACACACACACACACACACACACAGAGAGAACAGTCATTTGTTTTCCTCGACAAACACTCACACAGGAGCCTTTGTCTGCGCCTGCACAGCGGGGTTCGGACATACTGTAGATTAGAGAGAGACGACGCACACAGACACAAACACCACTCGCCACTGACACAACTCCACGGGAAAGAACACACTACTTCACTACTTCCTCAATCTCAACAGACAACGGGGGGAGAATTTGATACGGCCGGAGTGTAACCACCTCTTTTAATGTGTTAAGCTAGAGTGGTTTACAGTGAGAGCAAGCACCGGACCTCACTGACGCCTCTACTGTTTTTCTTTTCTTTAAAGTTCATCCATTGTGTGTTTTATTTCTTCACAACTTTCCTTTTTCACACATTCTCTGTTTAGTGTAACGTCAGCTCTTTTCGCACACACACACCTCCTACTACATCCTATTTTCCTACATGTTATTTGTCATCCTGTGATCTTATTCTCTCACACACACACACACACACACACACACACACAGTACAAACCTTCCCATCACATACGCACCTCTCTTTGACGATGTCCCCATAATTCCCTCCCAGTCGGGCCTGGTTCCAGACAGTGAGTAAGTAGAAGGAGAAGGAGAGAGGGGTGGAGTAGCACCAGAACAGTCTTCTGACCCAGAGACTGACTAACTGAAAGAAAACCTCAGTGAGGCTGGCTCTCTCTCACTCTCTCTCTCTGTTTTTCCTCTCTCTCGCTCTCTCTCTTGCTTCATTCTCTCTCTCTCTCTCTCTCTCTCTCTCTCTCTCTCTCTCTCTCTTTTTGTACAACTGTGTATCTATGCAAATCTCTTACACAAATACACTTGTTGACAACACATGTTTTGACTAATTAATTTTCATATTCTTTGTATTTTTTTTAATGATCCCACGCCGGCCACACCTGTGGCCAGAGGCGTTTTTGGGTTGTCTGTAAATCGATCCGTCCCATATATATATAAGAAGTGGACGTAGTCATCGTGATGTCACCTATTGGTTTGTGGACTGATGTTTGGAAGCCTCGAATTTGGCGTTTTGGCTGTCGCCATCTTGGCTTTTTGCAACCAGGGAACGGAAGAGACCATATTTTGACTGAGGAGGAGTGACGTTGAGACGCCATATACGTCTCTCGTAGAAACCTGTCAATCACTGTGTAGCCCCGCCCTAAAGCATCCCCTGCTTTATGGTCTGTTTGACTCTAAATGGACCATAATGTACTAAATGAACATCATGCTGTATTGAAGAAGACTTGAAACTAGAGATTGAGACCATGAACTCATGTTTACAATGTTTACTGAGGTAATAAATCAAGAGAGAAGTAGAGTCATTTTCTCATAGACTTCTATACAACCAGAGGAGTCGCCCCCTGATGGACATAAGAAAAAATGCAAGTTTATGACACTTTACATTACATTACATTACAGTCATTTAGCAGACGCTTTTAACCAAAGCGACTTACAATAAGTGTATTCAACATCGGTATTCAAGAGAACTGCTAGTCACCAGAAGACATAAGTGCATCTCCTTTTTTAAACAAGCATCTAAGAGCATAAACCAGAGCATAAGTACAGTGCAGAAACAAACTAGTATGAATACAATAGGTGCTAAGTGGAAGGCTCAGGGTAGTACTTCTTGAAGAGGTGAGTTTCAGCCTGATGAAAGATGGGCAGCAACTCTGCTGTCCTGACGTCAGTGGGGAGTTCATTCCACCACTGTGCGGCCAGGACAGAAAACAGCCGTGAGCGGGTGTGTCGGCCGTAGGGACCTCTGAGCGACGGGGCAACCGATCGCCCCGAGGCAGCAGAGCGAAGTGGTCGGGCGGGGGTGTAGGGCTTGACCAAGTCCTGGAGATAGGAAGGAGCTGTTCCTTTCACTGCCCTGTAGGCTAGCACCAGAGTCTTACACTGGATGCGAGCTCTTACAGGGAGCCAGTGTAGAGAATGGAGAAGGGAAGTTGTGTGGGAGAACTTGGGGCAATTGAACACCAGGCGAGCTGCAGCTTTCTGGACAAGCTCCAGAGGTCTGATGGCCGACACCGGGGCTCCGGCAAGTAGAGAGTTGCAGTAGTCCAGGCGGGAGATGACAAGAGCCTGGATTAGCACCTGCGCCGTCTCGTCAGCATTGGCTTCACTCTTCAGAACTAGATACACCCCCTGGTCTGTCCGCCCGTCCTATTCTTGCGAACGTGATATCTCTGGAGGGAATCTCCAGGGCTCTCAGATTAACTGATTATATTTCGGTGGTCAAATGGCACTGTAACTTACCAAAGCAAGTTTTTGGCCAAGAATTCCTATGCTAATTATGATAATTTCACAGAAATGTCTAACAGATGACATTTTGGACAAACATGGATGACGACGCAGTTATTCTAGTTCTGAAAACACTGAAAAATAAAAACACTTCCTCTAATCTCTATAAACAGATTCATTAGCCAACTCTTTAGGCAACGGGACAAGATTTTGGTATTTCAAGCGTTCTGGTTTCTGTTTGTGGTCCGAGTAGCATTGACCAATCGTGTTGGAGCAGGCTTTGTTTTAATGCAGGTAAACAGTTCAGGTTGGAGAGCAAAAAAGGCAGAATGCATTGGCCGAAATGCAATCTGGGAACACACCAGCTATCGTCTGACAACGATTCACAGTCAAACTGATTTAAAGGTTTGTACTGATAACAGACTTGGAGCAGGAGATATTCTTACTAAATAACAGGTATTTAGTGTCCAGTCCAAGAAGTGTGAGTGTCCTAAATAAAAACGATTTTTCACTGCTTTTCAGCGGTGTGAACTACTGAACAGGGAATCACTTTGTGTAAGAGGCCAGGAATCACCACACAGACCTGTAAACTGCCCTCACACAGAGCATAGTCACAGGAAAACAATATGCAACTGAGGACTGAAACGCCAACAAAGCTTGCTTAAATCAAAGGATTATTTTAGCACCCTATGTCTACTACCAGCATGACGATGGGACATGTTCGCTGTTAGCTAGCTAATGTTAGCTATGTGTTAGCAAGCTACTGTAGGTAGCAAAGGCACTTGCAAACATAATACTGCATAGCTTTTTGATTTATCGACATTCCACTGTAACACAAGTTGCATAGAGTCAAAATGCGTTAGCTTAAACAGTAATAACAGAAATATTGTTAGCCTAAAACTGACTTTTGGACAAAATGCTTGCTGCACACGTAACATTGGACATACTGAGTGTCAGGAGCCCACAGTTTTCCCATTCTTCCTGCTGATGCTTGTATAACATAGAAATGAAATAGGAGTAGAACAGACATTCGCATTCAAATTTAAGTTGGAAGATGTTCAGAGCGGCGACCGTTTTTATGTGTACATTTTCCATTGTGACCGCTGTAGCGTGCTAATTTCCAAATCAACTAAACAGACTCGCGGACTCACTGAGGTGAGGTTTTGCAGTAACGACTAATACGAGCAGTGGAGTAGTAACGTTACGAAGCATAGAGAGCCAGAGTAAATGAGTAAACTTTAACAACTTAATGTTTCATCCACACATTGCTATCAACAGATGAGTGACAACTTTGTTCTGTAACCAGTGTAGCATT